TGGACCAAACTTGACATGAACGCTCAATATGCCCAAATTTGAACATTAGTGGAGTTTGGGGAAAATAGGCCTCGACATTTGGGAGCTCCTTGGATATACAGTCCACTTGTAATCAAAGAGCACACAGAACTTGCATGAGCAACAGATAATACTGGAGGGGTCTGGGGAAAACTGACCTTGGCATTTGGGAGCTGCTGGGATTTATAGTTCACAGGCAATCAGCGAGATCGAGCGAGGGGAAGAGGGAATGCGCATGTGCCTCCTGCTGCGGCAGCTTCTTCCGGGGACTGCCTGGCAGGGCGGACCTGAGTCTTTGTGAATAAGGAAGGCAGGAAGGAAGGCAGAAAGCTCTCCTCCATCCTTGCCAACTTATACCCGGGGTACTAGATGACCCCCAACTTTTGAAAGGATTTTGCTGGGTCAAAAAGTCATGTTGTACCCCGAATATACAGTAATTTTGTTCAAGGCAGCCCTTTTAAAAATACTTTTAAAATACTTTTAAAAATGCAGGAGTTGAGAACTGCAGTGATCTGTTGTATAACTTGTTTTTAAATATGCTTGAACACCATTTTGAGTGATATTTTTTTGTTGTTCAAAGAAGGCAAAAATATAATAAACACTTAAAATAGATAAATAAGAAAAACACCTTGACAGATAGAAACCAGGAACATATCTGGACAAGTAGACAGTTGTTCTCCCACAAAGAGAACCACTTTTAATAAAGACAACCCATTCTTATAAATATACAAACATGAATGATTTTATTTAATTCATTAGACAACAGTAGCCCTCAGAATACTTGCTTTATTATGATTGGCTTTGATCAAATGTCTTTCTATTGAGTGGTTTGCCAAAATTAATGTAAATTTGACAAAATACAAAGAAACCAGAGACAATTGCATAATTTTCAAAGAAACTAAACTCTATTTCCAGGAGACCAAATTCAATTGGCACCACCTACTGAGAGAGTATGTTTTAAAAGCTATAAAGTGAAGGGATGCCTGACTTACTCAATTATAAACAATTGCCTGTAATGATATCTGTTTTGACTCACATTGAATTAGCCTGCTGTTTTACCATTCATTGATATTTCTGCCTTACTAAGACTTCTTATCCAATATTTAAAATGGAGTAGACAGGGTTCTTCTCAGCTTATGCTAATAGAAAGTAATAGCACGTACATTGAGGGTGGCATATAGATTTCTTTGGAAACAGAATGAAGTCTGATTTCAGTGGTGGCTCTTGATTGCCCTGGAACTTCTATATATATTATTGACAACTAATTCCATTTGAAAAATAAGACAAAGAGCTTTGAGAGTGAGGTAAGATGTAGACTAAAGCCAATTCTTAATCCCAACTCAACTGAATCAATAGACATTTTTTAAATCAACATTCATGCATGTTCCACTCAAGAGGCCCATCTCTTGGTCAGACTAACAACTTATTTGTATCTTAACATAGATTATCTCAAGTCTCCACAAAAAACTATCTTCTATAAATATTTTTTTTTAAAAAAAAAAACCCAAGAAAACCATTCCATAAAGCAACAGTGCGGACAATAATGCTGACACATGCCAGACTTAAACCTGATAGATTGAAAAAGACGGGGAAAATATAATTTTTCTTGCTGTCAGAATGATATGAGATTTTAGCACTAGGAAAAGTTTGATGAGATAGCATTAGAGCTGGGATGGGACAGCTGAATAGGTTTCCATATCTTCAGTCACTATTGACATTGGGAGAAATCAAAAAAGGTCTTTCAAGTGTACCTTAAAAGTGTGGCGTGTGTGTGGAAGTAGAGCGATCTTAGTGTTTTTCGGGTATAAATAGATTGGGCTGGAGCTGACACAGACCAGTGTCTACACGTCAAACTGACCTGCTGCTGTTTTACCAGTTATAAGCAATTCCCTGGCAGAGCTTTACTGGTGATGTCACTTCTGCCAGTCACATGGCTGGCCAGCTCATTGTGACCCCATCAGAAGTGATATTGCCAGCAAAGCTCTGACAGGGAGTTTCTTTTGGCTGATGAAATGGCAGCAGCCCCAATGCACTGTTTGCTTGGACAACACTACATTGGGCTGAAAGGGGTCTTTAGGACAGTCTTGTGCTGTGTCCAGGGCAGCTCCGGATTATTTTGGTAGGTGCAGATAGATGCAGCCTTAGCAATTCCTAGAGGGGTGTTCTCAACAATTATAAAAGGTATTAGTTTAATTCAGTTTTTCCATTTTTGTGGAGGTCCTATGCCCCACCCCCAATGAAAATCACTGTACTATTAAAAACCTTCACAATCAATTCCTAAAAGCTTGTTGTAACATATATTTTTCACTTGATGAAGGGAGGGCAACAATTATTCTGTTCCATCTGGCGAGCTGCTTGTGTACAGTTACTCACCAGTAGTGCCAGGCCTACCATTAAAGGAAGTCAGGCAGCTGCTACAATCAACAGATCTTAGGTGCTGTGAAAGGCCAGCAAATTGCTATTTAATTTGTTAGTATTTTATTTTGACTGCAAGAGATCAGGAGATGTGCTTGATGGATTTTCTGCTGCCTGTGCCAAAATGATTTGGCAGCCTTTGAGTACTGTTGCTGGAATCCTGTGAGGGCACTACCCTAGTGACTGCACTTTTTGCAGAATCACACAGGGACTGATGAAAGGCAAACAAAATCTTCTGGATTCAATCTGGCTATTTCCTTCACATTTTATATCCTTCAAGATCACTGTGTGCCCACACCCTTTTATCTTCACCACCTGCCTACTGATTGAAAAGAATAACATGGAAGTGATAACTCTGTCAAGGTTTAGCCCAATTTTCACATACCCTGAAAGGTTTCAAAAGATTATTCTATGCAGAAGTAAATATGGAAGGATTTACACAAAATTATGTGTCATAGGATGTGAAAACTGTATTTTTGTTTGTTTGTAAAAAAATGTGTTTATGTACACGTAAACTGATTTTGTGCAAAACACACCATCTTACAGAGAGGGAAATGCTCTGTGATTCTGGAAGCACTCATGGGGAAAAGTTATCTCAACCAAAACTTTCTCACCAATTCTTGTCTCTACAACAAGATACAGTGTTCCTTCACTATATTGCGGTTTGCTTATTGCGGACTCGCTGTTTCACGGGTCCGTGATAAGCGGGGGGGGGGAGCTGTAGGTGAGGAGGAGGAAGAAGGGAGAGGAGGGGGAGCCAGGCACTAGACCTTATCCTAGGGCTTGTCTCTGCCCACTGGGCAGTAGCCTCCTCTTCACCGAGTTTGCTGCTCGCCGCCTTGGAGGCCATCAACTTGCCCAAGGGGCCTCTGAGGCAGCAAGCAGCAGACTCAGCAAAGAAGACAAGGCTGCTGCCGAGTGGGTGGAGCGTCCTTACTTTGTGGATTTTCACTAATTGTGGGTGGTCCTGGAATGAATCATCTGTAATAAGTGAGGGAATACTGTAAATATTTCAAACTCCAATTCTCACAGGGACAAAAAGGGAGGTGAAATCTTCTGAACAGGGGCACAGACAGCAAAACAAACACCACAGGGGTATTAACTCTTCTCTATTCTATCCAAATATATATTTTTGGCTGTAATTACATTTAACAAATTTACTATTCCAACTTACATACAAATTCAACTTAAGAACAAATCTCCAGAACTTGTGGACTGCCTGTATTTTCTTGCACAGCAGGGAAATAACTAGAGTGATTATTTGTCCTTGATTTACATTCTTTAAACCTGTGCTACTGTCATTAGTCTCTGGGCAAAGTATAAGATGTTGCTGTTGACCTTTAAAGCTCTACGTGGTTTGGGTCCAGGTTATATACAGGGTCGCCTTCACTCATACAATTAGCCCCAAATTCCAGCCTGCCAGAACCCAACTGGCAACTGTCACCGTCACCCAGAGGACCTTTTCATCAGCCATCCCAAGACTGTGGAACAACTTGCTGTAAAGCTCCGACAGCTAGATTAACTGTCAGAATTTAAGACAGAAGGCATACCCAGACAATTTTAATGATACATTTTAAACTTCCACTCTATGTCCAACTTTTGTGTATTTTGTGTATTTTAATATTTTTTTTTATGGAAATATGTTTTAATATGTATATTGTACAGAGTGTTTTTAAATGATTATGTGTTTTGATTATGTGTTTTAGCAATGTTGCAATATGCTAAGTAATAATAATTATGCCACTTGGTGTAGTGTACCAAGCCTGGGCAGCTTACCATAGTAGGAGCATCATTTGTTATTCTGCTTTTGGCAGCAAAATGTCATAAGATAGCTCCGATCATGAGAACTTTCCCATGATGACCTTTTACACACTGCTGATTTGTGACAAAGAGAAACTTCCAATTTCTTTAGTTACTTTGATATGCTGTCAAGCCATGCAGAGTGTTTGAATGTAACTGCAGATAACTGATGGAACAAAGACCTAATCTATGCAAAGTGAAGAGCATGCAATAAAGCTTCTAAGCATCCAAATCTTATCTGTATGGGTAAAAACAAGTAGCCTAATACTTGTAATTCTTCCTCCATGTGGAAATATAAATGTCATTGAGATAACTAGAACAATTTTCTGCATAAAATAGTTTGTTGAATTGAACGTATAATGTTATCATTCATACCCTATCTGTCTTTTCCTTTTCTTCACACACATGTACTTGCCATTTGAAGTAGGTTATTCCAGAAGTAGTATTATCAAGTTTATTTCAACTTAGATATCTACTTCAATATATATTAGCTTGCTTCCAGGTAAATTTTCTTTACATGACAACAACGGAAATTATACTAGGCCAAAAGAAGTTGCTGTTAAAGCTAGTAGCCAAACAGGTGTTTAAAATTAGGTTTCTTGTCAATTGTGTAACTATTATTAAGGGTATCCACAACATTAAATAGCAATTAATAATAATAGGCACATCCTTTGACGGGGAAGTTGCACAAGTGTCTTGTTCATGGAATGCTGAGATAAACTGAGAATATTTAGTTTCTAGTGAGCAAGCTCAAAAAACAAACTTACATGGTCAATTAATTCACGAACCATGCCATTCCATTGTCCACTGGCATCGTCTCGGGCTCCATATTTTCCATCTTCCACGAGCCTGATTTCATAGGTAAATCCAAGGAAGGTTGATAATTCCCTGAGAAGATCGATGCAATATCCCTCAAATCTATCATTCCCATACAAAGGTTTATCTGACTTCTTGAACATCACATATGGCTCTTCCTGGAAAAATTGATGAAAGAGAGAGAGAGAGAGAGAGAAATGTTTCAGTTGTCCTTCTTAAATCATCTATTATAAATATATTTTCATAGTATAGTGTGCATGTAGAGGGGTATACTTGATAATGTTGCATTCAATGCTATCATTTCTAAGGGGAAACTTACTTTGAATTTACTTCATTATTTTAAACCGAACACCACTGTTAGTTTTGTACTAGCAGACTGGTAGTAGTAGAAGGAATTAAGAATAAGAAAAAGAATAATATCCTATCCTTCTTCATCTCAGCAACTATAATTACAAACTGCATGGTTTGACAGGCATCATAAACTAATTAAAGATTACAGCAATTTAACATAGTTATTGCTTAGAAATTGAAAGATTTATATATTTCAAAATCTCAATTAACAATCAGAAAACAAATGAAAATCAATGATTTAGTGGGTGATAAATAAATTCACAGAAATGTTACTAGAGTATCCAGTGGTTACAAATCTACCAAAGGTGATCATGATGAGTTAGGTTCCACATACTTGCATTTAAATTAGATTTAACTATGACTAGATTACACTTAAAACACTTTATTCTATATTTCCCATGGGAACACTTGTAGCGGTAGAGCATATGCTTTGCATACTAAAACTCTTAAGATTCATCTCCTAATGCATACATCTCTAAGCAGTACTCTGGAAGCTTTGATAGCTGTTAAGATCCACTATAGATCAGGGATGGTCAACTTCAGGGGAACCAAGGCCAATTTCCCTTGACTCCCTTATAGGCCATAGCCCCTCACACAACGTAAACTCAAATACCTCATTTTTTTCCCCTTGTGATCCCTCTCAAAATGACAGATATTGACACCCCACCACTTTCAATCACAATTTTGAGAGGGATTTCAGTAGAAAACAGTGATGTGATGATAGTATGGGGTTTGGGGTCCAGGATACTTTTGTCCATTTTCCTGCATTTGGGGGTCTTTTTGTGTCTTTTTGAAGCAAAAATTGCTTGAAAGTCATGACTTTTTTTTTAAAAGGGAGTTCTGGAGTACAGGTGAACATATTCTACACATCCCTACTGTAGCTGATGGGTTGGAAACATATTGTTCTAGGACCCCAAGGCATGCTTTTTGTTTGTGTGCTGGTGCTCAATCCCGGCAGAGTTCTGTAAGTACTTTTTTCCTGACCCAAATAAAATATCTCATAGGAAGCTCTAAATCATAAATAAATACAAAATCTCTCTTTTGTTCTAAATTCAGTGTTCAGAAACATTGCCTTCTGATTTTCAACAGGTACTATTTGAAACAACACAGCAAAGGTACTATGATTCCACTTTATCTGTGATGGTTCCATCCCATAAAATTGAGAAATCAAGCAAAGGTTGTTTAGAATTCTTAGCCAGAATGCTTTAATGCTTCAAAAACACTTAAAACCCAGGAATTCCACAGGATGCAGCACTGCAGTAAAAGTGGAATCATAGTTCTTTAGTTCAGTCGTTTGTCAGAAGTACTTTAGTTAGAAACTAGTTTCATGAAACTTTAAGACAAAAATGAAAGAATGGGGTAAAAATTCTCATTTCTCAGTGACTTTCTGGCTACATATGCATAGTGATTAATATGAATAAAATTCCTTTATTTTCTTCCTCACCCCAGAAAGCCACAAAACCCAGAATACAGTATTCTACATTGACCAGGACCTCTTTGTGCACTTCTCACCGATACACTATGTTTGGAAAGTTACTTTACTTGGGAAGATTTAAAGCAGTCTTTTAAAAAAAAATCCCATAAAGGAGTTTTAAAACTGCAGACTGAGCAAATAGGCATTTAATTCAGTCCTGGTCACAACTAGAATTCTATTTCTATTCAAATTCCAGTCATGTTTTCTTTAATTAGCATCTACAACAATTAATAGAATATATAAATATCATACAATTCCCTCAGTTGTTTTTTTTTTGCTTTTTGTTTTTTGGTCTTTTCATTGTTGATGCATCCCCCGCTTCTTTTAGTCAGCATAAGAAAAATATTTGGTGTCTTCTTTAAAAATAAAAGTAAAGTTCAGGAAAAAAATTGAAAAAGACATTATTGGTACCATTTACAGATTGAAATTCACTTTATTAATTTAGGAATATAACATTAGGGATAATATTATTTCAAAAATTGCTTTAGAAAAGAATGGGCACAGTAACATGCCATAATCATTCATAACTAAATATCCTGGAGCATCCTCCTACCATTGTTCAGCTATGAGTGGCTTCATCTTGTCATTATATGAATTTTTCTAAAAAGTAACTTTACAAAGTATAGTTTTAAATTACAATTCATTGACTATCTTCTTCCCCTTTTCTTGCCTCCTTTGTCAATATTTGTAAATACTTCTTCCCATAGGCTAAAACATCATCTACAGTTTTTATATAAATATAAAGCATGAAATAAATAAAAAAAACAGGAAAAGAGTTCACAGTAAGCAAAGTCCTCCTCTGGGCAAAAATTCAAGATTTTTGGAAAATTGCATCCTGCCTGATACAGTATAAAACATTGTGCTCTGAGGCAAGGATGAGATGTTTTGAGAGCCAGTAATATACCTAGCCAGAAATGCCTCGTACACAAACACCCTCCAGTTCTGTAGCAAAGATAAATTATTTAGAGCTCCTAGTCATGTCAGCCCATATTGACTTTGTATCCCAGTGGAGTGGTACAGAAACCATAAGCAATCCAAGTTCAGCTCACTTGAAAGTTTATATCTGACCTGGCTTCTTGAAAAAAGTGATAAGACATAGAACTGACCCCAGAATAGTCTCCAAAATGCTGAAGCCTTTTAGTTTATCTATTGCCACTGGGTTAAAACACTTAAGGTCAGCCATATTGCACTGTATAATGTTGTCAGATTTACAGTATTTAACAAGCAAGGGAAGATACATATGACAATTTGATAATTTTCTAATTTTATTTACAAAAGCAAGCGCTCAGTAGAATTTCTTTTCTTACTCCTGTTTAGTGATGCAATTGTGTGCTTTAATGTGGCTCAACTGTGATTGATTCATTAAAATGGAACACTTTTAGCCAAAATACCTACAATATTCATTCTATCTCCATATTAATCTAAACAGAGTTAAGAACATTGCAAATACGATTTTTCTTCAATTTTCTCAGATATAATGTTCTCAGATGAGTACATTTTCCTTTGGTGCCTTCCCCTTTCCACTTGTCTATACCTAGATGTATATTTTCTCTCTCTTTCTGTCCACATATATTAAGGTAGTCTAGGGCTGAGTTTATATGGTCATGAAAACCCATACTCACCCTTAGTTGAGTCTTGATTGGTGTTCCTTTACTTCTAGTGAGTATTGTGGGTTATAAAGGGTTAATCTTTTGCACCAATGTAAGTTAAATCAATAGATGTGCTGGAGTTTCCCTGAAACTTTAGAGTAGCTTCAGGGCAGTGTGGATAGCAGTATTGGGTGGTGTTAGTGGGACACCACTACCTTCTCTGTGCTCATCATTACAAGGAAAAGTAATTGGATCATGCTCATATAACCCCATGGCCAGGGAAAAAACGGGGAGATTGGTCACCTCCATTTTCCTGGTTCTGTGGGCACCTCTACCAAAGTTGGAATAGGGTGCCCATGATGGCCAGGGGCTTACATAGATGTTTGTGGCCAGACAGGAGGTGATGTGAAGCCCAGGCCCCCTTGAAAAGAAGAAAGGAAAGGTTCCCAAGAACAGAAAGGGGGGCTGCCTAGCCAAAAACAATTTTTGGGAGGCTCCAATGAAATTTGGATACCAACAATGGATTACCCTCCAGCCAAATTGTACACGCTTATTAGGCATACCATCCACCTTCTTCCCAGTTGGCACTGATTCCATTCTATCCTTCAGAGGACACATTCCTGCATGGGAGAGGGAACTCAATCAAAGTAGCGGAAACACAAGGATAAAAACCCTTCAGTAGTTGCAAAATAAAAGGAAGGAGTCTTGTTGCTCCTTTAAGACCTACTAATTTATTTCATAATTAGCTTTGGTTTTCTACTTGTTACTTCTAAGGAATTACAAGGCATGTTGCAAGAAATCTAACTGTAAAAGTGGAGACTATTTTCTTAAACACATTCCCCACCTCCTCTCTTATCCTAGAAAGCTTTTATTCTACATGAGCAGAATACAGTATTGAGCTCCACTGCTAACACATTTCTGCAATAGAAAGGACTGTGAAATGAAAAATGAGGAGGCATTCCATGACGCCTTGTATGCTGCTCAGTGAAGAAGATCGAAGCAAAACCATCAGTTGTTAAACAACAATTGAAAGCCATTATCCAGAGGCAGAATGATGCCATATCAGAGACTCAGAGTTTTTATCAAAGAAACTTCCAACAAACTACTTTTGCAAAAGGCAGCAAAAGAAAAAAAAAGAATTATGGAAAAAGAAAAAGACATGGATCTCATAAAGAGCCAACAACACAATGATGAATAAATTTTGATAAATGGGAATCTGTGAAAGCATATGCTGTAGCAAATTTGCTTACAGCTTTGCAAACCAGACCCAAAACTTGTATACTTTGGAAGCAAATCCCATTCATTTAAGTGACTTTTACAATCAGTCAAGATTGCTGAGCATTGAAACCTTTATTGGGCTGTCAACAGTAAGACCTGTTTTCTGTTTACAAACCATGCTTCTTTGCTGCCTGTAGACATGGAACTGGGGACATGATTCTTTTTCATGCCACTGTCAGTGCCCTCTTCATTCTCCTTTTTTGGGTGGCATCTGTGGAATCATGTGGACCACTAACTGCCTTCTAGAGCTGGCCCACTGGATGGCCTGGCCAGATTTGCAGGTAGGTCTTAGAAAAGGTATTCAGAAGGTGATTTCTTCAACTAGGTCTGCTGTTAAGACTTATTGGGAGGGTGTCTCTGGCCTTTAACCTCATTCTGTTGTGAAACACTCCTGTCCATCCCCACCCCCCATTAGATGTAACTGAATTTTTCACAACTTGCTATAATAATCTGGCAATTGCCACCTATAGGGTCACATGAATTGTTAACTACAAACTAGTGGACCTCATAATCCATGGGGTTTCAATTTATTCCCTGACAAAAAGGGTCTGTACAGGAGTTAATTATAAATTGTATGATTTTAACTGTATTTGTGTTTAGATTGGCTGTAGTAATGCTGGAGCGGCCTAAGTCAGAGGAGTCCTCCATGTGCGTTGCCATGGAGACCGATGCAGGAGAGAGGGAAGTGGGAGGAGCTTAGAGGGGAGATGTATTGTCGAAGGCTTTCATGGCTGGAATCACTAGGTTCTTGTGGGTTTTTTTGGGCTATAGAGCCATGTTCTAGAGGCATTTCTCCTGACGTTTCGCCTGCATCTATGGCAAGCATCCTCAGAGGTGTGAGTCTCTGAGGATGCTTGCCATAGATGCAGGCAAAACGTCAGGAGAAATGCCTCTAGAACATGGCCATATAGCCCAAAAAAACCCACAAGAACTTAGAGGGGAGAGTTTGAAAAAACGACAGTTAAAAATCAGTTAGGGTTTAGGTTTAGAGGGGTGAGCAGTCAGGAGTTAGGTTCAGATGAGTGAGGAGTTAGGAGTTGGGAGAGAAGGAAAGGAAAGGAGGCGGAGTGACTTGTGAAGCAAAACTTTGAGGCTTTGAAAAGCTGGGTTTGGCTATTCGAAGTTTCTCAGGCTAGTGCAGCCGAATGGTGAAACATAGCTGGTATTCTTTTAGCCTAAGGAGAGGCTAAAGAATAGTTTACTTATTATTTGATCTACGGAGGATCAACTAAGGGAAACATCCCTCTATGGAAACTTTGTCTGAAACAAGTGCTCTACATCAGAGAGATACTGTGTTACTTGAAAGAATGAACGGTTAAAGTTACAAGTATTATTCCAAGTGCAACAAGGAAAAGTTACGTCTTGCAACCACACGCTGTGTACTTAATAAAATTGTTAACTTTTATTTGAAGATTGCCTCAGCTCCGTCTATTCTGGGTACAAAGTGCCATTTCTCACAATATTACAACTTACCTCACGTGGTGGCAGAAACTCAGGGAAAAGTAACCAAATAAATCTACATTCTTCTCTCCAGTCATGCTACAGTATATACAGTGTAATTACTACTAAGTTATTACTTTCTCAATAAAGGAGGAGGTGCAATTGAACAGCCTCCCTTCTAACTTGATGGTAAATTTGGTTCCTAATCCGCAACCTCCATTGCAAATCGGCTAAGTCTTTTTAAAATTGGGAACTGGGGTAAAATCTACTGAATACTGGTTCCTTTCAAATTGGTGGCAACAATAAATCATCCCTCAGCTCTCCTGCTTCTTTTCAGGGTCTTTTGTTATATTGTTAATATATCTCATTGAAACTCTATTTCAGATGTATTTTTGACCAGACCAGATCATCAGTTGCAAAAACTCAAAAGGAGAGGATCCCCACTCCGAACAAGTAATTTTAAGGGATCTTGAGGTGAGAACAATAAGGAATAGCCTGTCTCAGAAGATGGCATGCCAATTTCCATGTGTGGTGAGGGGACCACACAGCAAGCCACAGAATCATTATCCCAGAATTCCCCTTTGCCTTCCCTGCAGGGCAATTCTGTTAATGTACTGGCAGACAGAGCAGATAACTGATGAGCTGGATCCATGCCTCCATGGAATGCCAAAATTCTGCTGAATCACTACTTACTAAAATTGTGGCTCTTCATCCAACATAAAGTGTTTGTATTGTCTGTCTTCCTCTGCCTCTTTCACTGAAAAGTCTATCACTAATGGTTCCTAATGGTTTCTTGCTTACATTTGTTAAATACTAATACTATTCTAGTATTCAACAAATTTAAGAAAGAAATCATTAGGAATGTTTTCTTGGCAACAATTCAGGGGAGTTTTGCCATTGTCTTCATCTAAGACTGTGAGAGAGTAAGCCTTACTGAAGGTCACCAGATGGCTTTCTACCAATGAGCAGAGAATCAGACCTTGTTCTTCCAGAATCCTACATCATCACTCAAACTATTACCTCCCTGTCTTTAGCAGTAAGAAAACCCCTGAATCTTTACCTCTTAGCATGAATTGTTTAATGCAGTTTCCATAATTTCTGCATAAATGAAATATCAGAATTGCTAATTTCAGAATTTTTAGTTTAAAAATGTTTTAAAGTATGAATTATATATTGCTTGCTCTCACTACGTGACTCTACATAAATAAACCGCATTGTTTTAGGGGGTTCTTAGTATCAGGTATGTATACAGTTGAAATTTAACAAATATTCGTGTTGGTTTATATTCTTTCCATTGTGTTACAAGATTAAATTCTGCAAAAGCAGCAAAAAAAAAAAAAGAACCCCAAAAGCTAAATCTGGAAATCTAAGGAAAAAATGAGTGAAAGAACTAATTACTATGTTTGAAAAACAAATATTCTGGGTCAGTGTATCAGCCCTCCCCCCTCCCTCTCTGTATTTTTTCTGCAATCTAACAATTATGTTATCTACTTAACCTTTTCTAAAAATGGAAGGAATCATAAAAATGCTAAAAGGCTTCTCAGCTGAGATTATAGCATTGAAATAAAAATGAATATGTCAACATTGTAGACAGAACAAAATCCCATAGCTGAATTAACATTTTAGATCGTTTGTTATACAGTAATTGCTAAACAACAAAACACTTCTTACTAGCCATTATGACTGTAAGCACTGTGTCTTTTCTGAACAATTTTCATCTACAAATGAATTTCTGCAAAGCAATTGCACATTTGATCACTTACCAAGATGGATGATTACTTACCAAAATGGTGGTTACAGTTAAAGAACGATTAGACAGGGAGTCAGTAATGTTTGCTGGTTTTCCTTTCTGATTCTCAGTCATATTAAGGCCACTTGCAGGATCCCAAGTTCCAATCTATAAAACAGCATAGGCACTTACATATTGTCCATGAGTTCTTTTTAGGCCACTAGGACAGAACAGTGTAAGGAAAAGTTAAGTCTCCTAACATTTTTTATTTACCTCTACTACAATTTCTGCTATCATTCTTTTAAAAGCAGCTTGATTAAAATGTGATTCACTGCACTACAAAATACATCTACTGGAGTGTGACATTCAAGGTGAAAATTATGCATAGAGTTCTAAGTGCTTAATTTTTCATTTCAAACTTCTGTCTTCCTAAGATAAAAACAGGAGTCATGTTTGATCACTTGTGTGATTTCACCCCATGCCACAAAATAGTGTGGATGTGTGAGATCAGTTTGCTGTCCTCAGGTGGGAGAAGCCATTAAAGTGATATCAGACAAGCCATGTCTGACATAGAGGAGGAAAGGGGTGTGGAGCAAGGATATTATTTAAGGACTTCTCCATCCCCTTTCATCCCTCTTGGATCTGCATCTGGTATCTTCCACCACACATTTGCTCATATTTTGTCTTAATATTAAGAAACTCATTTTTTTCAGTACATATGAACATTAGGAAAACTACAACTTGTTCTCTGAGAACATAGAGCATTTCCACACAGGCAAAAAAAATGCAGCTGGAACCAGCATAAAAATGCCAGTTCTGAGCCACATTTTATCTATATTAGGCAACCCTAAGTGGGAGACTGCCCAGACAGCCCAAACATGCTGAAACTGGTTCAGCAGGGCCATACATGGGCTGGGTTTCCTACCTTTCCTGCACCTTCATTATTCCCTTCCAAACCACCCACACACACACACACAAAATCATTTCTTACCATTGTTGTGAGCTTGTACTTCCTGATTCTGCATTATGCAGGAAGCTATGGAGCCTGGATGCAGTAAAAGACCTCCCCTCCTCCAAAGCTCAGTCACTTCCTACATGACACAGAATCAGGAGGTACAGACCCTGTAACAATAGAAAGGCATGATTTTCTGTAGTTCTTTGGGGGGGAGGATGAGGGTTCTGGAGAGGTAGGAAGGCATTGCTGTCCAACCTCCCCATGCTTCCTAGGCCAAGGAGCAACAAGATTGCTATGGGAATGCAATGTTGGATTCCACATTGAGATGTGTTGGATTTTCTTGGGTGATTCAGACCTTTCCCAGTGTTTTTTAACCTGGGGTCAAGCCGGATTAAGTGGCTTATCCTGGGTTAAATTGCAGTAGACCAGTGGTTCTCAACCTGGGGTCCCCAGATGCTTTTGGCCTTCAACTCCCAGAAATCCTAACAGCTGGTAAACTGGCTGGGATTTCTGGGAGTTGTAGGCCAAAAACATCTGGGGACCCCAGGTTGAGAACCACTGCAGTAGACTGTTGCTGTGTGGTGTGGCTGCATCAGGCTAATGCACTTACTACATTGCATGAAATGCAAATGGTTTACTGAAACTCAGATACCATTTCTAGCTACTTGTGAAACTTTTATTTCCATCAGCCACCTCCCTTTCAAGTTACACAAATTTATTATATGCAAACTCTACAGTTATATTTTGTCTCATTTATGTACTGTTCTCCAGAAAAGACTGCCAGTTCAAATTCTCCATCCTTCAAATATCAAGTTTTTGTGGCTGGGTCTTTATTCTGTGGTACCCAGCAAAAGAGCAGGAAATGTGAGAGTGAAAACTGCTTAGAAAAGAAAGATTTGTGTCTATTTATTGTTTTCTGGCATCTGAGGCTTAAAGCCCCAGAAAGATCATCTGGACACCCTCTCTCCCTCTTAAAGTTTGAAAAATCATAGTTGGATCCAGATCTCAATTGAAGGAAGTTATGAATAGGGGGAAATGGTAAACCTTATGGGTGTGCTATCTCAGGAGTTCTACATAATTCCAATTTTAGGTGTTTCCTATTTTATTGCTTGACCGGTTATTATCACCATTCTTGTCCTACTCTTAATGAATCTGAATCTGCAGAATAATTTTATCTCATGGTTGTGGTTGCATCATTGATGGCAAAATGTGTGCTGTGCTTTGGCATTTGAAGCCATCCTCTTAATTATATATTTTGTTTCTCTCTCTCTCTTTCCTGTTTGTTACTCACACGATCCTTTCACAGTTTGGTTGGCATCTTAGGAGAGAGTAGCAGGTTTTGAATGAGCATGCTAGTAGTAGTGTAATTGACAATACTGAATATTTCACACCATTAAATGTTGTGAAAAAATAAAATGTTGCTTCATATAACCCAAATAGTCAGGAATCCTGTTTGTTAGCTCCAACTAGCATAGAGTCACCCAATCAATTGTTAAATTGTGACTCAACACATAGGAAAATTCCAATGATTCAATATACGTCTACTCTTCTCAGAAGCAACCATAAAATTGTTTGCAATTAACTGAATATAATTATTAAAGCAGATAATGTGGGATTTTATACAGCTGTGTAGAAGGGACCTGGGTTGAAATTTCCATTCAGCTATCAAATACAATACTAACTAGTCTGCACAACTTCAAATCCCAACATGTTGTATGTGACCTTACTTTTTTCCCCAGTGTGTTTGCACTTAATATTTGACACTTTAGTACCTATATGGAAATATATTTCTGGGGTGCTCTGCAGTCTGATTGTGTTGTAACTACTGTAAATTGACCATGGTATCCTTCTGGGGTGGCTCTCCAGAATGGGTCTTGGGGGGCATTGCATTATTGTTGTTGTTGTTGTTAAATAATTTCAGATTATTTGTAAACATGGCCACCTCAGTTGACTGTATTTCATTGCAAGTAGTTTCACATTTGTTATAACCAACTCCCAATATATTAATGTTAATTAAGTCATTTCAGGTATTTTTTTCCATTTTATACATCAATACAGCTACAAACACTGGGTCATTCTATCTACATAATCTGCCCCATATATTTATTATCATCTATAATTTTCATTACATTTACTAATGGGTTTCCAGACAAATTTCAATCTACATGAGAGCTTTCCTATCAAAACCAATTTGCATGATATTTTCCAAGTAAGCATTATGAAACATGATTTAAATGGTTTACTGAAACTCATATACTATATCCTGTATTTCCTTTCTTTCATTTATTTTGAAACCTATTCATCAAAGTTGTTTACAGTGATGGTTTTACATCCATCTAATCTTGAAAATCTCCTGTAGATGTTTTCTTCTCTGTCCTGCTTCCTCTGCAAACATTAACTGAGATTTCCCTAATATTGTATGTCTGTTCTTTGGCTTACCCTGTATACTCATATTTACATCTAGAAATTTTAGTCAAAAAAATTAAACCAAAAAAACTTAGGTCAACGTATCTATGGGTCAATGGGAGTACTGTATTTTAACTCTCTTTGAAAAAAGGAACTATCGTCTTCTCTGGGAAGAACAGCAAAAGGCAAAAGCATAGTCCATTCTAAAATAAGCACCAACCCACTTTACTCTCTCTGCCTGGCACCACTTCCGGTCTTCTTGAATGCCTGTGTAGGGAAATTGATGGTTGATCTCCTGAGTTAATATTGGTGCTTTCACCTCTCTGTAGAATGACCCTTGATTTATCCACAGGTCATATCAAAATCTATCATCTTGGCCCCACAACCTACCCTCAACTTATTTATTTGAAGAAACTTTTCTGTGCTGTAGAAAAGAATCTTCAAATTTCATACTGTTGTATCTCCTCCCTTCAGTTCCCCAAAATGCCTAGTAGATTTTTCTGCCTGAAAGGAAGCAGATCTACCCTATCCATGATCATATCATATCAAACTGGCAGCTGACCCAATCCAACATGACAGCATTTTATTTTATCTGGGGATACCACACTTGCTGGTGCAGGAGAAGACAGGATAATTCTGGCTTTCATTACTTCATCTCTGTTCTATTTCCTAAAGAGAGATGCTCATATCATCTAATGGTAGGGCAGCCTTTATCTTTTAAGTGTCATTGTTCTAAATACAATGCCATACTTCTTGAGATTCTATATATTGCAAGATTCTTACAATATATGTGCCTCACATCAAGATCACAATTAATGCCCTGAATATTTTATTAATTACTTTTTAATACATCCATTAAATGTATATGATAACATGAGGCAGCAAAGTGGTGGCAGTAAGAACACAAAGCAGATGGATTCTAGGGTCAGGACTCCATGATTTTCATACTTGTCGAGCAGATGCTCCCTTTACCACAAAGAACTGGAAGTGGATAACCAGTAAGTCCCAGGAATAATAATAAAACTTTATTTATAACCTGCCCTTTCTTCCCAAAGGGACTCAGGGCTGTTTACAGAAATAACAAAAATTGCAAACTTTCTATGCCCAAAAACAAATTATTGACAATCAAGGAAAAACATGAAATAAAATAAACTCAATATAACTTATAAACAACCGAAAGCAAGGGTAAACTAAATAAACATAATAAGCACAAAGGAAGGTTAACCATAAGGAATACAGTCACCTCCTAATTTGAAGATACACATCCAGATGTGTAGGAGGCAATCCATCATTTGGAGGCCAAAATATCTCAATTATATGGGGATATCTGGGGCTTTAAAAACAGGCTGATAAGTAAGTGGAAACAGGCAGCATTACACCCACCCATGTTGCCCTTAAGAGATCATTTTTATTTGATGTGAATATATCTACACATAACACTGCCATGGTTATGTCTAGCTCAACCTTGACCTTTATCTAATGATTAATATGTTTTATGGGGTGGGAAAAACATGTCCCACTAGAAGTATATGAATGAATATTCCCATCATTTCTACAATTGGCTAGGCTGCTAGGAAATCATTATTTCATTCCTATTGCTACCATTTATTTCCCAACTTCCTTCAAATGATCTCAAGATAGCATTCATTATCACTTTATTCTCATCACATCCTTACAAAGTAGATCATGTTGAAAGTGTATGTGTGACTGACCTAGGAGGCAATTGTAGAGGCAAGTCCCAGTCTAACCTCTACACCAACAATATCTTGAGGCCATGGGGAGCCAATTCCAGCTATTCAGTATATATTAGCTCCAAAAGCAAAAAAAGAACCCCAATGTATCTTTACCCAGGAATATGCATGGATCCATGGGGATTACTTTAATAACAATTGCTTTGAATAGTAGAACCTGGGTCCCTTTTTTTTGGGAGCTAGAGTGGAATACAAATAAAGTTTTATTATTATTATCCTTACTATTATTAACCAGTCTGCACTGAATCTCTTCCCAGCTATAAAAGTGTTTTGCCATGTACCTGGCCAGACTATTTCTTAAAGAATACAAGTGATTTTCAGAACTGCACATGAAAGTTTATATAAATAAAGCAATTATTTAAACAAACTGCAAGTCAATATGGGATGAAACCTTACCTCTTTAGGTATGAAATATGAATCAATAAAATTGAAATAGATGTGTTATTAAATTCTCAGACTAATATTCTTTAATATACTACATGGTGATGCTACCTTAGTGCATATTTTAGTTCTACTATTCAGGACAAGTTTAGAGTTATTTATTTTTTACTTTTTATATAACAACTGAAAGAAAGAAAACTGAAATATCTCAAATACCTTTTCAAGACCTTCTTCCTTAAGGCTAATCACATCTAAGTCAAAATCTGTCCTTAAGCCATTAGTTTTGTTGAAAGTTATCCTGCCAGTGAGGCCTTCCCAGTGAGCCTAAGAAAACAGAGAAGAAATTAATCTGGTATGTAAACAATAAGAAAGACAGAGAAAGAGACAGAGAGAATGAATAAATTAATAACCACCAAAATGGAAATATTAATTATTCATTACATTTAAATCATTTTTCTAATGGCCATTTTTTATAAAAAAAATCTTATTCACTACTTGGATTTTCAGCATTTTTTAAATCATAAAACTAACTTCCTTTTAATCTCTGCATACAATTCCTTAATAGCATTTTATTCTTCTGAGTGTGTGCACATTGCATATACATGTACGCACACACCGAAACTACATCATGTTGAGGATGATAAAAAAGCTGACGTTTCACATTACATTAAGGGGTTTGATTATTGTTTAACTGATCTTTATGTTCCACTGTAGCAATACTCATTAATGGGTATATTCAGCCTGGGCATCCCTATCATATTTGTATTATCACATTGTTAAGAAATAAAATCAAAGGTAATATGCTATGGCATTCCACATGTTATTTTGAACTTATTTTTGTGTTCTATCTGTAATAGAGGGGAAAAAATTGGTGTTTAGCATGTAGGGAACTACATCAATATTCCCCCCGCCCCCTGTTTGGCAAATCTACAAAAGTATGCACAAAGTTTGCATCGCTGCCCTGGAATTGTCTTGATTTAAAAAAAAAAATTACTCAAGACAAAGCTATATCTTCTAAACTTTTCTTTAACATCTTACTTTCTATAACATATATTTTCTCATTCAATTTTACTATAGGATTAGTTGTATGAAAACCTGTTACTAATCGCTTGTTTTGAACCCCAGGACACTTTTTTAACAAAAGACAATGACTCTGTTCTAGTAGAAATAAATAAGTTTAAAAGTGCCCAATGTTTAGGAAAATCAAGGTTTTCAGACTTTCTGCCTAGAGCTTGGAATATTTTTTCTTAAATGTTTGAAAGGCAACAAGTTTCTGTTATATGTTGCAGCATTGAGAGAGTAACTCATTACATTACTTGTTCCCAGTCTGCTGCTTTTCTTTAATATCGTTTACATACCAATGATTTCTTTTGGGATCCAAAATGAAGTTTGAACTTGACCCCATATTTCTAGATCAAACTACAAGTTGAACATCCCTTATTCAAAATTCCAAAATCCAGTTTGAGTATCCAAAATGCTTGTGGCTAAAAGTGTTTAGAATTTGTTTTTTTTAAAAAAAGGATTTTGGAATACTTGTATATGCATATATGTACCTAATGAGATCTCTTAGGGTGTATTCTACCCTGTATAATCAATGCAGTTTGACATGAATTTAACTGCTATGGCTCTATACTATGAAATCTTGGGAGCTTTTGTTTTACAGCATGGAGCCATGGCAATTGAAATGGCATAACACTGCATTAATTCTGCAGTGTAAATGTGTCTTTGTAGGTGGAATCCAAGCCTGAACATGAAATTCATTTATGTTATTCATACATAAAGCCTGAAGGTTTTATTTCTCATGTTGGAAGTGAATTGAGGGTACAATTACAATGTGTATAAAAACACAAACAAAGTTAAAAACTTGGCATTATGCTAAATGGAGTGCCTCTGGTGCCACTGTGATATGGTCTTCCATTGTGCATGTGGCAGGGTTAGGTTGCATTGTAGTAGTTATTTTATACAATATCTTAAATAAATTTGCGAAAGAAACACAGTTGGTATGCATTGAAGCGAAGCAAAGATGTCACTAACTCAGCTAGTCAAGTGGACATTTTCAGATTTTGAAGTATTTTAAATGTTGGAATTTCAAATAATGAATGTTTAACTTGTGCTACAAAATTCAAATTGATCCACATAGTTGCATGCACACAAAATAAAGGAATTTTGTGTTTAAACTTAAATCCCATCTCCAAGATACCTCATTATGTAGATATATGCAAATATAGGTATTACAAAATCAGAAAATTCCAAAATTCAAAATGCTTCTGACCCCAATCATTTAGGATAAGGGATATGAACCTGTACCTAACAGGAAAATCTCTTACAAAAATAGAAAATGCAGCAAGCAACACCCAGTAATTTCATAAGACTGGGTATTGAGTAATCAACAGTCTTTACTTTTACATTATCTAATTATGTTCATTTTAAAACATTAAATAGTAGAAGTACAGACTTATGTAAAGGATAATTTGAGGAAAAGTAATCAAGCTCATACAATGTGGATGCTATTAAAACTCAGGAAAGTGAAGAATGTATGGAGACATTAGGTAAAGTAAAAAAGGATATTGCAAAGTTTAGTGCAAAAAATGTAAGCAGGAGCATCCTGTTGTGTTTATGTTTTATGATTTGCTGAGATGATATTGCCTAGTATAGCAAAATGACATCCCTTGTTCATTATACAACCTCTTATGGCTTTTGTGCCTTATTGTTCCACTTTGACATTTCACTGCACATTTTCTGCAAATTGACATATTTATCTTGACTACAAAGCTCAAGGCATAAAGGGCTACAGATCCGAATTTCTACAGATGGACAACAGAGAAAGACTAAGCAGAGCAGATTTTATTGGTAATGTACCTCTTTAATGAGATTCATGAAGCGGGTCCCAAAGCGCCATGGTTTGTGCCGATTACACTGCAACGAACTGACAGTCATCTGTGGGAACTGCTGGACAGCCACTGACACCACATGAACAGCATCATACATTAAAGCTGCGTCCGTCTGAAATGAGAATGCAAGCAATGCTGTGAAAATGACCAACGGAAAGCGTGTGGCACATAGAAGGGAAAGACATGTCCTTCATGCTTCTGTTCATCATAGAGGAAATGAATTACAGTATAATTGGCTTATTAAACAAAGCCGTCACTGCTACGGGTCAAAGTACACATTACTTTAAAAGATGGCATTACCATTTATGTCTTTTTTGCTCTACTGCACAAGAAAAAGTATGTGGATTGGCTCTGGATTGGAAATGTAGTGTGGTGCAATGGGCACATTTGAAGGATATAGTCTTTTTTCTCCATCTGAAACAATTCCAAATTGCATTGGTGGCTACATGCTGGCAAGTAGCATAGCTCCCAAAAGATAATACATTTTCCCCTATTGATCCTTTCAAGGGCAAGATAGATCAAGATCACAGAAGGGAAACAGACCATTAATTTCTGCCTCTCTACTACCAAGTCAAAGCAAATGTCTCTCTCTCTTGCTCTCTCTCTCTATATATATGTGTGTGTGTTTGTATTTGTATTTGAAAACAGAAAATAAAATGTAGCTGCTAGGTATCTCTTTACTGTAGGTGTAAAGAACATGTGGCTTTCCAGATGTTGGACTGCAACTGCCATCAGTTCCCACCAATACAGACAAAAGTGAGAGATTATGCAAGTTGTACACAACAGCTGCTGGTCAGACATGTTCTGATGTATATTTATAAAGGCTTTGATTCAAATAACACACCAGTTTCATTGCAGTTTAACTGCTGGAATCCTGAAATGTGTCATTTGGTGTAGTAATTAGAATTCTGTATTAGTTCAGGGGAGTGGACTAGAGCACTCTAGCCTACAATTCTTAAGTAATTCACCGAACTGCAAATCTTAGGATTCCATTGGTCAGAGCCATGGCAGTTTAAAATGGGATCAGACAGGTGTATTATGAAGTGCAGATACACAGTGACTCCAGATACACAAGATACTTTCCAAAATTCTAAAGGCTTGCCAACAAACAAAGATGAGAAGTATAGACATTACAAGGGAAAAGTTTTGGTAGCTTCTTTCGTCCTTATTTCTGTCTTCATAGAACTTGGGAAGAAGTACAACCCTTTAGTTTATTGCTATATTAATAATAAGGTACATCCACCTAGTATGTGTTTTCTGTACTTTTCTCCAGCTTTCTTTACCTTTTATTAGTATGGAAAAATACCTGAATACTTGAATTGAAAAGTGATTAAATATTTTTTAATTAAACATTATTGAGTGTCAGGGAAACATGAAGGAGAGAATCCTGTATTGCAAAAATCTTCAAGACTTATTCTAGGCAAATTACACTCTTGTTTCACAGAAAACAGCATTTTCTGTCTTGCACAAAATCATGTTTTCTTAGAAAAAGGTGTGAATTTAGCATAGAATTGTGGCATAGAATTGCAAATAGATTTCAAAAATTGTACAGTGGGAAAAAAACTGATGAATCTTGGTCATTTCCTCTTTTGAGATCAAAATTAGAAAGCAATTAATTACATCCCTAGGGGAAGCCTTGAGAATTTTCAGCCAGCATATCTTTCTCACAAGATGTGTTGGCTCTCATACAGCAAATATAAGGTGTATATTGTCTCTATATGAAATATGACACCAATCACATTCTAATATGAATCTTATTTTGTTACTTTTTTATGAACCTGACTTGTTGGAGAGAGTACCTAGGGTTCCAATTCCCGCAATAAACAAACCATGATCTATGGATGATGCTTCTACTACTCTTGGCTATTTTGATCCCACTTACAAAAGGAACCAAGAGGGAGGGAATGGGCAGCATGTGTGGAAATGTCCTGCTAATACTTTTTCATTCTTATCATGAAAGAAAATGTCCCAATCACAAGTAGGTGTGCATATGTGTGGTAACCCAGAGGCAGGGATTAAGATCTTGGTGAATATATAAGATGCTTGCCCAAGCCTTTGTCTTGAACTGAGAAGAGACACTTTCATAAACTGGGCAAGTGGATATGAATTCTGTAAGGCAACATGTCTTACACAAAAAGAACCTGTTATTGCTCCTCTTTGACAAAATTAATGATCCGTGAAATAAGTTCATTACTGATAGGAAGCCTGAAGATTACTGGATTCGTCATAACACAACACAGACTGCATTTATATCATTCCTTTCATGCAAATGGATACCAACACTTTACAATAAAGCAAAACATAAAAATGTAAAAGTGTTCTCCAGTGTTATAGACCATAAGTTGGTGCTAAAAGAGAAAACATGAGTTAAGATGTAAATGAGTCTCCTGCGGTTCCTTTTGAAAACCAAAAGAAGATAAATCTTAGGTTGGAAGTAGCTTGCAGAACAGCATCACATAATTTTTGAAGCAGCTAGTGCTGCACTCAGACTTTTACTTCCGTCAAAACATCAGTTGTTTCAAATTGCTCACTGACTTATAACTCAAAGTGCTTTTAGGGCTAATTTGATACCTTTGTAGGAACCAATATATCTCCTGAAATCTGACATGACATGTTGAGTCTGCTTTGTGTAAGTTAAGAATCTGAAGGCAGCATTTCATGCAAGTTAAAGCCACGGCAGCACTCTTTCCTCACAGAAGCCATAAAACAAAAGCACAAACAACTCATCTAGCTCAAAAGCACAGAAGAATGTTGCCAAATGTCCCCATAAATCTGTATCATCACCAGTTTGTAACCTTTTCCCCACCCAAGCCTGTACATATTAATAATTCCAGGAATTCAATATCAGCCCCCAAAAGTTATGGTTTAAAGTAAAGTCTTTTCTGGATCTAGACAGCTGTTCAGACCTCCTGAGACTTCCATTTCCTACCAAATCCCAGTGTTCACCCAGAACACAATCCATTTTTCATAAAATATGTAAGTGCTAATTTATATACAGATAGACCTATTCAGAAATAATTGCTATCCCTCTAACAGAATTTTTAAATTAAAAAAACCTCTAGTACAAAAGACTTCTACCTCTTTAAACACTCTGAATGTCATGCCTGCAGTAATGATTACTATACAACTTTCTCTTATCCCAAAACTGATCATCAAATGGACAAACTTTCTAATAGAGAATTGTCCTCTGGAAGTCCTTCAAACTGAAGACTTCAGCACTGATGTCAGATTCTTCCCACCTTGATCTTTTCGGCAATAAGCATACAAGTCTACCGTTACTTCAGTAAATTTCCAGTTAACTGAGTTGTTAGCATTTTAAGATTCAGAAAACATAAACTGCGCTTTGAGATTTCTACTGAAAATGCCACAAGACTGTGCATGACATTAATTTAGGACGGATGCTTCTTTTGGGATAATATCCTTTCTTTAGTCTATTGCTTTAATACTTCAAAAGAAATGCTTACTCCTTAGAGACAAAATCCTACTTTAGCTATCACCATCACAAATCCTAGATTCTTTAAACCTTAAAGTATAAATGCTATGGGTTCTTGAATTATCAGTGTAGAAGAACAGTTCACCGAGCAAGAAAAAGACAATTAAGAAATAGCTAGAATGAGGGTTATTAAACCCATCATTTTTCAATTAAAATGTTAATAGGCAAATGTGATTATTTTCGTTAACTAATATCTTCACTAATTAAAGCCTCCTGAGATATGTAGACATGAGTACAAAAGATAGTCTAGTGGATTAATTCCAATAATCAGGATGGTATTTTAATGGAGTGTATGATTTAAAACTCCCTTGTAATAAGGCATATGTCTTTACTAATGGGTTTAGAAAAGGCAGAGGAACGAGAGACCAAATTGCCAATATCCACTGGATAATGGAGAAAGGCAGGGAGTTTCAGAAAAACATCTATTTCTGTTTTATTAACTATCTAAGCCTTTGACTGTGTGGATCATAATAAATTGTGGCAAGTTCTTGGTGGGATGGGCATACCAAATCACCTTGTCTCTCTCCTGAGGAATCTGTACAAGGACCAAGTAGCAACAGTCAGAACTGACCACGGAACAACAGACTGGTTCAAGATTGGGAAAGGCGTACGGCAAGGCTGCATACTCTCACCCAACCTTTTTAACTTGTATGCAGAACACATCATTCGATGTGCGGGGCTGGATGAATGCAAAGCTGGGGTGAAAATTGCTGGAAGAAACATTAACAACCTCAGATATGCAGATGACACCACTCTGATGGCCGAAAGCGAGGAGGAGCTGAGGAGCCTTCTAATCAAGGTGAAAGAAGAAAGCGCAAAAGCTGGGTTGCAGTATATTAAAAAAACCAAGAATATGGCAACAAGAATGATTGACAACTGGAAAATAGAGGGAGAAAACATGGAGGCAGTGACAGACTTTGTATTTCTAGGTGCAAAGATTACTGCAGATGCAGACTGTGGCCAGGAAATCAGAAGACGCTTACTTCTTGGGAGGAGAGCAATGTCCAGTCTCGATAAAATATTGAAGAGTAGAGACATCAGACTGGCAACAAAGATCCGCCTAGTCAAAGCCATGGTATTCCCTGTAGTAACCTACGGATGTGATAGCTGGACCTTAGGGAAGGCTGAGCGAAGGATAGATGCTTTTGAACTGTGGTGTTGGAGGAAATTCTGAGAGTGCCTTGGACTGCGAGAAGATCCAACCAGTCCATCCTCCAGGAAAAAAAGCCCGATTGCTCACTGGAGGGAAAGATACTAGAGACAAAGTTGAAGTACTTTGGCCACATCATGAGGAGACAGGAAACCCTAGAGAAGACAATTATGCTGGGGAAAGTGGAAGGCAAAAGGAAGAGGGGCCGTCCAGTCCTTTCCGATCTCTTGAAGTGACTGGACTGACCTTGAAGGAGCTGGGGGAGGTGACGGCCGACAGGGAGCTCTGGCGTGGGCTGGTCCATGAGGTCACGAAGAGTCGGAGACGACTGAACGAATGAACAACAACAACTTTATGTAATAATTTAGGGTTCCTGGTAGACACCGATTATCTAGATCTGGCACAGTCTGGTTTTAGGCTGGGACATGGAACTGAAACAGCCTTGGTTACCTTAGTAGATGATCTATGC